CTGTTCGCGGGGCTGCCGAGAGGGATGATGCCCCTGGAACGGCCGGTCATGGCAGCCTCGTGGGACACACTGCCCCCAACCCAGCCACCATCAGAGCCGAGGATGCCTGGGTGCTCCGAGCCCCCTGCGTCCCTTCCACTGGCACCCCTCTCCCGCCCCTCACCCCCTCACAGCCCAGCCCCCTGAAGCTCTGTGCCTTCTGCACATTGGCCTCCAGACTCTTACTTATCCGTGGACTTATCCCCGGGAAGCCTATCGGACGCCCACCCGCCCGCCAAGGCCTGCACGTCCCCTCACAGCTCTGTATCCCTCTCTGGCTGTGTCACTCTCTGTCCCTTGGCTGGCACACAGTGACACTTGATAGAAGTTGGATGAACTCAAGTCCCTGTCAAGTTTAAAGACCATACCGATAACTCCCTTGGTCCTTTCCTTTGTGCAGATACGTGTCGTTGCCCTGGGAGCCCCCTCCCCAGGCCAGAGGGACCCAGAATGGGAAGAGATGGGGACACACTCACATGGCCTCAATCAAAGAACTTGAGCTAAGAACAGCCTGCACGGGGAACAGAAGTGCAGAGAAAAGAACGATTCATTCGCTGGCTCCTTGTTCTCCCCGCGAGCAATGGTGGCCAAGCAGGGGTGTCAGGGCTCAAGGCCGGCTCTGCTGTGTGACCTTGGGCAAGCCATCACCCTCTCTGGTGACCTCTGAGGGAGCAAGGCAGGAGCCAGGGCAGCTGGGAAGAGGCCGGGCTGGCAGGGGCATGAGGTGGGGTGCGGAAGGAGACGCTGATTCAGGGGATCGAGGGCGGTGGCGGCGGGCAGGGTAGACGAGGTGTTTGCACAGCTGCAAGTCCTTAGCCGGGATTTCCCCCTTTTCAACAAATCCCCGTAAAACAGCGTTTTGTCCAAGTCAGCGTTTTGTGGCAGCCGGGGCCTCCTCCCGGAGTTGGCCAGGGGGACTGGCTGGGAGTACATAGGGCTCCAGGGTCTCTCAGACCGATTCGGGGCTCGGGGGAGGACGGGGTGCCGGCAGGAAGTGGCACCAATACAGACCCCTGTCCCCCCGGACGGGGCTGCGGGAGGGGGAGAGCCGTCAGCTAACAACGACCCCTCTCCACCCGGGCCCCCGCTCTCCGGGGGTCCTGTCCCAGGGGTGACCAGCAGAGGGCGCCCCCCCCGCCCGGATCTGACGGAATGTAGAGGCCTGCCCCCCTCCCCCCGGCCCGGCCCATTTCACAGCCGAGCTACCAGAGGTCCAGATGAAAGGGGGGGCCGAGGGAGACGGCTCCCCGGGGACCATGCGGGGGTGTGGCCGGTGTGGCCCTGGCAGCGCCCTTCCCGGGGGTGGGGGGTGGACGGAACTCAGCCCTCCCCGAGCCCCCCATCGCAGCGGCGGCCGAGGGAACATGGGGAGCGCGCAGGCAGCCCCGGGCCGGCCAAACCACAGGTATGTTATGAGACGCTTCCTGCTGTGGAGACATTTCTGCGGGATCGCCGGCCCCGCTTGCTCCCCTGGTGCCTCCCGTCTCCCCACTCACCCAGCCTCCCTCTCGGCTCTCTCCCTGCGTCTCTGGCCCTGACTCATTTCTGTCTCTGTCTCTCTCTCCACCTCAACAGGTGAGCAGCAGTTCTCGCTCAGGCTCTCCCTCTCTCCCTCAGGGGTCCAGGCCTGGGGACCCCCTAAGGCCCTTGTAGGTTCCGGCAGCCCCTGGATTCCTGTTCCAGCGCAGCTATGTATGAGCTGTGTGTCTTGGGCAAGTGACTTAACCTCTCTGAGCCTCCGTGTCCTCACGTGCGGAAGGATTAACTGAGGTGATCTGAGCCACTGCCGTTCTGTCCTGCTACCCTGATGGCCAGAAAGTTCTCCCTTCAGTCTAACTTCGGTTTCTCTTGCTGCAAAGCAACATCTTCTCCAACCTTGAAAACCTGTACTCAGGGAACTTGCTGCCAAAAGGCCAGGGCCTTATGAAAGTTCCAAAGTCAATTTTCTGGTCTTCCAGGTCTTTTCCCTGATGGCCCCAGAGATGGGACTGACCCGGGGGGTCCCACAGCCTGCTCAGGACTAGGATGCACTCATGGATCTCACACAGGGGCAGAGAAGCTGCTCTCCTCACCCACTGGGCATGGTGCCCGCCCCCCACTGCCCAGACAGGCAGCTCCAGACTTGGCCGGGGCTCCCTGGCCCTTCTCCCCCACCTCTTTCCCCGCTTGTGGGAAATGGGGATTTATTTTAATATTTTATTTATTCATTTGACAGAGAAAGAGAGAGAGAGCACAAGCAAGGGGAGCGGCAGGCAAAGGCAGAGGGAGAAGCAGGCTTCCCGTGGAGTAGGGAGCCTGACGCGGGGCTCGATCCCAGGACCCCGGGACCATGACCTGAGCCGAAGGCAGACGCTTAACGACTGAGCCACCCAGGGCCCCTCCTGTCCTCCTTTCCTGAGTCTCAGATGAAAGGGGTGTGCACCTACTCAAGGCCCAGCCACCTCCCGACCCCTTCCCCGGGGCCTCCCACTGTCTACGTATGCCCCTTACCCCCACCCTGTCTCTA